ATGTATGCAAAACATTTGTCTAAGTGGTTTTTGCCTATTGGGGAAAAGGGACGTTGCAGTAAGCTATTCGATGCTACCATCTGCTATCCTTTATAAGTAAATACAATGCTGTAAGTCTTCATCTTTGCCTCTGGAACTGGAACTCGTCATGATAAAAACAGTCCATTACACTTTAAAGACAATTTGAAACTCTCGAAATAGAGCTTTTCTGCATGTTTTTCTCTCCACTTTACTGAAAAGCAATTTTAAACATTTGTATTAAAAATGTTTGTGCATCCCCAAAATTGAGGGCTTTAGTAGCATAAAATAAAATATTTTTTAAAATATTTAAAAACAAAAATATGTTGTTTTTAGAGGGAGGAAGGCGTGGCTTTAATTTGGGTAAATAAAACAAAAATTTTGAAACATTAATCAGAAATATTTTCTATAAGTTCTTCTCTTATCACTGGTCTTGCCAGCGACTCAGGAACCCCTACAGTTTCCTGCATTCTCTCACACTCCCTATCCAGTGACACTTAAAAAAAAATAAAGATGAATACCTATTTTAAAAGCAGAATAAAAATAAAAACTTTGATTTAGCTTGAGTCTCGTTTCCTCTTTCCTCTTAGGTATACATAAAAAGATGACAAGAGGAACAAAAATCGTATACATTTATTAATATTCACTTTATTTCAGTTTTGGAAATCTCTTACACAACAAAAATAAACCCCATTTGTCTGGATTTTCATAGTTTACAAAATACTTGGACACCCATCATTCCTGTGGAATTATGTGGCTAGTCCAAGGGCACTCTGAGAAGATATGAAAAAAGCAAACACTTGATGAGTGTATTAACAAATCAGTGCTTACCTCAACTGGCTTAAAAACACATTCTACTGTCCTGGTTTTCAATTGTATCCTCTCCTCTCTGCCTGGTGGATAGTCCTATTTAGCTAATTCTGCTATGCAAGCTTTATGATACCAATTATTTTGTAACAAGCTTTTAGATAGCATCAGAATCACTATAGTTTTTACATCACACAAAAATCTGGTACACCTTTCAAATATACATCTTTAAATAAGTGAAAATATCTGGAAAGTTGAAAAAAAATGATAACTTAGTAAATATAAGCACATTTGAAGTGGATTTTTTAATCTTTAGATTCCATCTTGGTTTATATTTCTAAGAGCCAGAAAATTGAAATAACATTTTACGACAATAAAACTCAGATGGCACCATTAAAAAAAAAAAAAAAAAAGTGTAGTGCTGACAATATACACACATAGAAAAATAAAAAATTAAAGGTTTTAGATCTGAAGGAAAAGAACACCAATGATGCACTGTTGTTATAGTGCTGAGAATCACTGGCTAACAGCTAATCACAGTAGCATAACTGAGAATTGTACAGCGAATGTGGCAGTATTTCAAATATGAAGAAAAATCAAGCTCATTTTTTTCCCCCTATTCTTCCCATGGAGATGTGAATCTAACAAGCTCATGTGATGGACATTTGCAAAAGTACAAAAGAAAGTAAATTGGCAAAATAAATCAATTATAACTGAAATTTAAAATAAAAAATAAAAAGAGAGGAGTCAGGAAATATGAAAACATGATTCACACTAATTTCACTATAAAATAAGTTATCTCTTTTGAATAGAATTAAAGTTTAATCAAATAGTTGTAAATTAAAACTTAAAAAATTTGAAGTCTATAAAAGCGAACATCTTATTCATTAGAATTGATTTTTCTTATTAAAATATACTCTTTGCCCTGGCCGGTTTTGTTAAGTGGTTAGAGCATCGGCCTGCGGTCCAGGGAGACCTGGGTTCAGTTCCTGCTAAGGGCACGTACCTCGGTTACAGTTTGTCCCCGGCCCTGGTTGGGTCGTGCAGGTGGCAGCCACTCGATGTGTCCCTTTCACGTCACTGTTTCTCTCTCTCTCTCTCTCCCTCCCACTCTATCTGAACAAAATATGGAAAAATGTCCTTGGGTAAGAATAAAAAAAAATACTCTTTTTGGGCTATCTTTACAGGCTAACTTTTTAAAGCTGTGACATTATTGTCTTAATAGCAGTTATAAAATGAGGAATATATGAATCATCTCCAGTGTTTTCTAAAAACCTGATTTTTGCTAAAGAAACACATCTGGAGTCTCCTCTAATTTTACTAAATGTCTGAAAGGTGTAATAAAAATAAAATCTGTTTGCATGTCAATCCTTTATTTATAAAGTAGCACTTTGATAGCTCTTCAGATTGAGTGAAATCTTGTGTCCAGTAATACCAAGTGGTACATCTACTTTACAGTACATGTTAAATTTGGGAGGTTGTGCTGTATTTAAACACCTAGAAATTCACTGGACAATAAGAGGATCAACATAAAGAATAAATTCTGTCAAAAAAGTTTTTAGATTTCTACATTTTATAAAAATAGAGTTAGTCTCAGGATCTAATTACTAGGAACACTTAACTGATTATTACCACATGACACACTCATTGATATACTTAAAACTATTGTTCAGGACATACTGTGAGAATCCTTGTTTCAATGACAGAAGAAATTAAGTAGTTTTCATGGGGGGGAGAAGGTTTGAGGGTCGGAGGGTAAGAGGACGCGGGGAGATTTAGTTTAGTTCCACTGAACACTTTTATGATGTCTAATGAGGCCAAATTGAATATTAGAGTTCAATTAAATGAGAGAATTTGAGTTCAATTAGAAATATGAGAATTGAAGCAGAGTCATTACAAGATTGTTGTTTTAATCTTTGACAATTTAATCACTGTAAAGAATACAAATACAGTCCAGAAGGAAAAACTTAGTCAAGTGTTTGGAATGTCATTGGAACAGAAAAAGCTTATGATAATTTGATTCATTTTGTGTAAATAAGATGCACCCGAGAAGTTGGGTGCACATATTGTTGGAACCAAATAAATCCAAGCATATTGTGTGGTAACGCTGGGAGTGAATCCATTGTGATAGTCCTGGGAAAGTGAAAGATGTAACCACTAATGGTTCTTTTATACCTGTGGTACCAAAAGCTACCCTTTCTTCTGAGCTAACCTGCCACTTTAATAAAATATAAGCAGCCCTGGCCGGTTTTGTTCAGTGGTTAGAGCGTTGGCCTGCAGTCCAGAGGGACCCGGGTTTGGTTCCTGCTAAGGGCACGTACCTCGGTTGTAGTTTGTTCCCAGCCCCGGTCGGGGTTGTGCGGGTGGCGACCAGTCGATGTGTCTCTCTCACTTCGATGTTTCTCTCTCTCTCTCTCCCTCCCTCTCTCCCTCCTGTTCTATCTGAAGGTAAATGCAAAAAACGAAAAATGTCCTCATGTGAGGATAAAAAATAAATAAATAAATAATATTTGGTATATTGAAAATATGTCTATTCTTTTGAAATTTTATTCAAACAAGGATTTTTAATGTATTTCATCGAACAGGGATTTTAATGTATTTTATCACCCATACCACTGTTCTTAGAACAAGAGGGACACAAAATGCATTTATCGGAACATTTGCCTTTCCCTTTCACATTTTGTTTGCTTTTTCTATGTCCATATTACTTTCACTCTTGATCAAAGTCTCAGAATACTTTGGAGTTTTAGGGAAAGTATGATTGCTGGTTTCAGAAGAGCTAACCCCAACCAACACTTTTTAATTTACAGCCTCTAGGTGGTTACTTGCAAGTGCTGTGGGCAAGTGAGCAGCCACAGGACCTGTGCATGAAGGGAGAAACATGTCCTTTCCTTTGAGGAGCAAGTGCTTGGAATCCCACAGCTGGCTTCTGGGACACTTGCCACTGGGAGCAGATGGACACTTAAAAAAATGAGAATGTCATGCTAAGCAAAAGAAGCCAGTCAGAAAAAGCTAAGAACCATATGAGTTCACTCATATGTGGGGTACAAAACAAAGCTCATAGACACAGACAACACTGTGGTGTTTACCAGAGGGAAGGGGTGGGGGTTAGTCAAGGATAAAGGGGGCCAAATATATGGTAAAGGATGATTTGACTTTGGGGGTGGGCACACACCACTATATGCAGATCATGTATCATAGAAATCTGCACTTGAAACGTATATGATCCTATTAACAATATCACCCCAGTAAATTTATTTTAAAAATGAAAACATTTTGTTGTATGAAATCTCACAATTCTGAAATGAAGTCCTTTTGTGTATAACCAGGAACAGGAGAAACATACAACTATGATTAAATTGTTTTGTATTCTTTTTATAGGTCTTTATTTTTATTTCAAAAATATATTTCTCTTCCAGCAAAATACTACATGTGAATATTTTTTGTGTTTAAAAAAATGGTCGGGCATATAGATTATTTTCTATCATTCAATTCATCAAAAATTTATGGAATTTATTGTTGTGGTAAAATATTGTGCTGAGTTTTGAGGGAACGAAAAGACAGAAGAGACATAATTCCTTACCAGAACAAATATATAAATACCCTAAAAGGATTTGAATGGAGTATTTTTCAAGTACATAGACACTATCACAGGTAGTATTCAGAAGCCTGAATAATGTTATTAATGTAATTTAAAGTACTTTATCATTACTCTTTAAATAACTTCAGACTAATTGGTTTAACAGCTCAAGTAATTAAATAACATTAACTTTGCTATCAAACAACATATTTCTGTTCAAACAAAATAACATGAACCTTTATAACTTATAATTAAAAGATCGTTTTAATATTTAAAAGCTGACATTAAAATATGATTAGGATGCAATAAAAAATAAATCTATATGAGTTTTCTTTTAATAATAGTAAATTATATTATTGACAGAGAAATTGAGTCATAAATATTTTTCTCTCTAGTTAAAAAACATGTGATAAAAACTAAATAAAAATTACTAAATATTTCTAAAATGCACATAAAGTCTATTTGTTTCCAAACACATTTTAAAAATAAATATTCCATAAGGTAATACACTTAAAATTAAACTTTGAGAAAGTAAATATGACACAATTAAAAAAAAACATCAGGGACTTGAAAGCAAAAGAAAATAAAATATTACCTAATAACAGCAACTTTACAGTTCTTGCATCTCGCTCAGCATCTTCCTGAAGCTTTTTCTCTAGTTCTTTTGATCTTTTGGCTGACTCTTTACTCTCTGAACTAAGTCCGCTTCCCATCACGTCAGTTTATTTGCCCAAACTTTTTCAGATGTGGAGCACAGCTCTGGTTTGAGTGTAGGATGCACAAGCAATTCTCTGCTAATGCACCCAACAGCCCGTTCCCTCAAGCTCTAAGATTCTGCTTTGACTAAAGAGATTTTCTCTGAGCCGTCACCTGATCAAAGAGTGTCACCTGATCAAATGGCCATTTCTGGTATATCTTTAAAAATCTGTTCATCTTCCTAAAACAATGGCATACAATAATATAGAAAGTTGTCAAAATCTATGTACTAAAGATGATAATTCAATGAGCAGTTCAAATGAAATATTTCACACTAATAGGTAATCTTTATTATTGTGATTTTAGGTTCAGATAACTAAACAACAAGCTTGCATCTTATCTACAGACATTTGAGTCTTCAAGCTCTTCATCATTACTCTAATATTGCTATCAGAATATTTATATTGAACCATCCAAATTTATAGTCTCATTAGGCTTATATTATGATACATTATTGAGAATCTCAGCATCTGTCAGTCAACTAAAAAACGACTAAAAAAATAAAAACAGATGTAGTTCTTATATTTATACATATTATTGTATTACCACATAGAATTCAACATACAGTGCTCTTAAATGATTGATTTTAGTCTCATAGGATGCATCTCCATAACTTGAGCTTTTTTCTGCTTTTGAGAAAGTCCATTCATCAACTTTAATTGAGGACCCACTTGTGTAGACACTGAACTGTGTTCAATTTAGGTAGTGCATTAACTCTTTGCGGCCATTAAGCAACAGCTGCTGTTCTGGAAGGACTTTTATTGATTTGGTATCGAGGGAATAAAAAGCAATGTTCTTTAAAACAGTAGATAATTTGGTTCTTCCTGAAAAGTAAGAACAGTAAAAACATCCCAATATGTTCCATGCCTCTCAGCTCCCACAATAGATACCATGTACGTCTTGAAGATCTGCAAGCTTGGGAACAGAAGTTATGTTGTAGAATTGTTATGTTCATACGAAGCATAAAGTTCTTGTTAGGTAGTCAGTCAAGATTTTCCTTAGAAACAGAGTTGTCTGCCTATAGCAGCAGGCAAATCATTCAATGTACATTTTGGAATCTGTGAATGTGCCTAACCAGGAAATGTAAGAATCGAGTCAGTTCAACATGTCAGTACTGTTCTTGTGGGATCATGTATAAAGTTTGAACAGGTGCGTTTTTGCCTATTCTTACAAGTAGGAAATAGGCTGCCAAATTAAATACATATTCTTACTTTGTTTACTTTTTCACAAAAAATATTAAGTTGCAGATACATAAGCATAGTCAAAATATTCTGAATGTTATTCCACCAAACTCATGTTGTGATAATATAAAGCTGTGGTAAGGCGGGTATGCAAGTGTTTGTGTAAATCATGCAATATTGAGTTTACAGTTCAAAAGGCCTGCCCTAAAGAAGCCAGATTTGCAGTGACTAGTTTATCCTCACCCATGAACAGAGTTTATTCTGATAGCAACACAAAAGATCACAAACATTAAAATAAATCTCTTTTTACCTATTGTTCTTACATCAAAATTGAATATACATAGTACCCTGAATATACAAGATTCTTTCACGTTCCGTAGCAATTATGAACTGACTAGATACTTTCTATAATGTGTATCCAAGTAAATAATACCCCTTAGCTTTTTGGTGGGGACATACCCTGGCTTTGAAAGGATATGTGTTTTATTAAGTTTCCTAAGAGGGTTACTGGCTAAAACTGATCAACTTTTTCAGGAGTAGAAGTATACATTTTCTTTATCATATAAAATTATGAACTCCTACCTTTAAGTTTAACCCAGAATCTTGAATCATCAATGTTATGAGATTATAATGTAATTTTTTTTTCATCAGTGGCTAAAAATTCTTGATAAAAAAAGGTGCATCTATATTTAGGGGAAGAAGGTTATGTGAACCAGAGAGGAGAGGCAGGTCCCCTTTCTCGCCTTCTCCCCTGGTGCCTGGGACACAGCTTCACTAATAACCTGGACTTTTTAGTCCATGTTCCTTCACTGAGGATTACAGTTTTTTTGGATTGAAGAAAATGATGAAAATAAAAGAATAAACTCCACTAGAGTAGTGACAATATATTATTATCTTGGATGTCCTCCACATTATTTGGGATAGTACTAGCCATAGGAAATGTTAAGAAACTATTTCTTGCTAATTGATAGAGATCTAGGGTCCTTTTTTCTTGTGCTATGCTGAGATGATAGTTTGGTTAGGGTTTTGTCCCAAGGTTCAATGTCATAGTTGGTTTTTCTCAATACCCAGGAAATTTTAGAGTAATTTAAAAAATTTAATGAAAAGTCCAATGTTAGTCTGAAATAATATCAACAAATACAATTACAACTGTTAGCCCAACATTTACACTTCTTCAAAATCATCCTTAAAAGAAACACCAGCACACTTTCTTTCTGTCCTTAAATCCTGTTCCATATTGAGGAAAAATTGATAGACGATGACAACAGGAAAATTAGGTACTTTTTATTCAGGGATATACATGCTCATAAATTTTGTTTGTTTTTGAAAACAAGAAACTATCCCAGACACTATCATGTTAGAGTTCCATGAATTAGCCAGCTAAAAGAGATAGATTGTCCTGTGTACACATGCATATGCGCACACACACACACACACACACACACACACACACACACACAAAACCCATGGGCACACACATGCACAGAAAGCAGGAGACATTATGTTGGAACATCATAATTGTTTAGAATGATTATTAAGAGTGGCTTCTAAGAACTTTGCTGGATTTTTTTTGTTGTTGAATCACAGCATCACCTGATTGGGAATATCTTCTTTAGACACTAGGCTTTGCAAGAAAAACAGTGACTTAAAGTAAAATACAGAGAGTGAGCCCACAGCTCAAAAGGTCACTGAAAACCCACCAGTCTGCATGGCATGAGTAAGTTTTCTTCCTGCTATGTTTTTGGGTCAGGTTCTTTGTGGAATCTTCAGAAGGAGACATTAGCTTTTGAAAACTGAGTAATCATTATTTTGCATTTATAATTCAATACCTAGCTTATGGTGACATGCAATTATTTCCCACCTGCTTTTAATACTGAGATTTTAACCTATGCTTTTGCAAATGTCTCTTTTGTTGGTATTACCTGGGCTTCCGCAGTCATCAAGCTGGATTTCCCCTGAGCATGTGACATGTAGCTGATTACAATAAGTGGCTCCAAAGACTCAATTTCCTCCTGGAAATGATCAATACAGGCTGCCATCTGTATTATTTTTTTATTTTGTTTTCATATCTTATAGGAATTGTTTACTTTAAGCATTGGGTCCCTAGGTGGTTTGAGACCTGGCTGCCTTAGCAATGACTTTTATTCTTGCATATTCCCATGAAATTTGAGGCAAACCCTCTCTCCTTTGCTAATGGTACTCAAATGTGCACTTTGGGAGCTCTGCTCCTGGCATTTCCTCCAGATAGTTCATGTGTTTGGGGACTTGAGAGAAGTCTTTTGATCTTGAGGGAATAGGGCAAACAAAACTTACCATTTCAAATGAGCACATTCACCCACGCTAAGCAGTTCTTTCATTTTAAGAGGCAATACAAATATTTATTTTTATTCATTGGAGTTGATTTCTAACTTTTTTATGCCACATATTCTTTTTTATGGATTAGACTATGATTATATAATGGTTGTTGGAAATAAAAAAAAAATGTTATAAGCCTAATCGACAAAGAAAATGAGAGTCATAATTATTTCCCAAGGGGCCTCTTCTTGCCTAAACTCTCTCTTTCAATATTCTTTGTCTCTTTAATGTAGTATTTCACTACATGGTGAAATACTTATTAATCTTATTTCTCGGTAACTTCAGTCATGATTATTGCAACTATTTCTTACTTAGGTTTGTTGATTCTAGTCTCTGCCCTATCCCAGTCTAACCTGTATGTGCCAGGCTAACTTCTCTAAAATCCAAATTTATTATTTTACTTTTCTTGTTGAAAAAACAAATAATTACTTATTTCCTACTGCCACTGATCTTAGTCCTGCTGCCATATAGTCATTAATCTAGTTAACAAAACCCAACAATGCAAATATATTTATTGTTACTTCTCCAAATGCATTCTCTATTTTGGCTGCACTAAGGTCACTCTCCGAATTAGCAGTCCCAATTAACCTTTCACTCATGCTTCTTTTTTCTCACTAGGAATATCTTGCTTTTTCATAGCTGACTTATTTCATAGTACTCATTTTTTAAGAAAGAACCCTATATCCCTGGCCAGTATTGCTCAGTGGTTATAGCTATGGGTCATGGACCAAAGAGTCATGGGTTCAATTCCAGTCAAGGGCATGTACCTGGGTTGCGGTTCGGTTCCTGGCCCCGGTCGGAGTCATGCAGGAGGTAACCAAACGATGTGTCTCTCTCACATCAATATTTCTCTCTCTCTCCAACTCTGTCTGAAGATAAATGGAAAGAAGAGTATCCGTAGGTGAGGATTTAAAAAAGAAAGAACCCAATATATATATTCTCCATTGTGCTTCTCATCTACTACCACCCGCTGGGTGATTCCTTACTTTCCAAATTCTTAAAAGGAATTTTCTGCCAGTGATTTTTTTCCTTCCTCACTAATAGTCAGGACACTTTTCAGTGATTGTGCTCTCTGGTTCTTCTCTACTGTATGCTGGCTCTAACCTGAGAGTACACAGAAGAAAACTGTTGATTGAAATATTTAGTGAATAGTGAGTGATAAATAAACATATGGTGTTTGACTGTTCTGATTCATCTTGGAAATACATGATTCTGCTTCCTAAATGATTGCAAGTATGAAACAATTGTTATGTACCAGGCATGGAAGATTCAGCAATAAATAAAATAGTCAGATACTTTCTCTCAAAGACATATTCTATAGTGTGTATGTAGGGGGTTCACACAGACAATAAATATTACAAATATTTAAATTTCATAGAATTTAGATGGTAATGTTAAGAAGAAAAAACAGAATGATGATAGGAGTATGGGGGTGCTGGAGAGGGTGAAAGATTAAATTTTATATAATATGTCCAGGGAAGAACGGACAAAGAAGGTAATTGTTTTAAATGAAGTTTCATGAAACTGAGTTTAAGATAAACATA